ATATATATACACACAAAAAATTGACGAGACAGGAAACATCTCCACGGCCCTTTATACAAAAAAAAAACAAACAAAACAAAACCGAACACATACATACATACACAATTAAATGTGCATGCATTTTCTATACACATAGACACCGATAAATACATGTACACACATCCACATACATTGACCTAGACAATCTGATATCACAACCAAGAAATATTCAAGACGGAAAGTGTTATTAAACGAATGCTAACCTCTTATTAAAATATAACTTATACGGGCAAATATACATAGATAAAATGATTAAAATAACATTATCAATATAAAAAAGAAAATTCCAAATACACAAACAGTAATTGTTGTTTATTGGAATTTATTTCGTATACACCAATCATATACTTGTATATATATATATATATATATATATATATATATATATATATATATATATATATATAAAAAATGGATTAAGTCTGACAATTAGTTTTAATATATTTTCCGTTTATACATTATTCTTATAGAAATAATTCATTTAAGTAAATGATCTGATTTTTCTTTAATTAAACAATAAGAATTACCTTTACCGGCCTGAATGTTCAAGAAATTTCACAGAAAATATGCGTTCTCCGACAGGAATCGAACCTTTAATCTCAATGAGAATCATCATTTGATCTTATGTGAGAGAGAGAGAGAGAGAGAGAGAGAGAGAGAGAGAGAGAGAGAGAGAAGAAGAAGAAGAAATTACATCGTAGAACTGCCTCAAGAGTTGATGTAAATTCGAGCAGAAAATGTTGTAACGCAAGCAGTGACATGATCACCAAAATGTAGTGAGACAAGAGATTAGGAAAAAGAAATGTGGTTTGAGTTATTTTTTTAAACAAAGAAACTTTAACAGGCTCGCCGTAGCGTAACGGTTAGCTCGACAATGGTTCTACCCATTCTGGATTTACTGCTTTCTATAACTCACTATGTGGCCATCACTTTAGATATTGTGCGCAAAAAAAAAAAAAAGAAATGTGGTTGTGTTATATTTTAATACTGCACAATTGTTTTAAAATGTGTACAATAGATACTTTAAAATATCAAGGTTTGCATTAATAGTTTTTATTACATCTTTCTTTGAAAACTCTCCGCCAAACATACTTAGTTACCTCCCCTGAAGCGGTGTCAAGTAATCACGTATTCACTCAGCGTTCTTCACTTGACAAGTAAAAAATTGATATGAACACAGTAATTTTGACAATGATGAAGACTACAATATTTATCTTGAAATAAACAACACCCTGATGATGGCATTGTGCTATATCGAAACTACTAGGAATAAAATAATATGTATCAACATGGCGATTTTATTTCTTCCTTTAATAATGACACCAAAAATCTTGTCCGTGAATATGAAAAGGATCAAACTGAAAATAAGTAGACAAAACTTGTCTAAATTATTCAATGAAACACGCCTCAATAAAAACATTATATGTCAATATATACGCATTAATTATATATATATATATATATATATATATACATATATATGGGGTGTGTGTGCGCCTGTGTTTTTGTATATATGTATGTGTGTATATATATATGCACACACAGAGATAAGAATATATATATATATATATATATATATATATATATATATATATATATATGTAACCCGGATATAAGAGAGTTGTCGGGACCGAGAAGAAGTCTCTTATCCGGTCCGGGTTTTTATTATCACAGGCTTAATTTGGAACCAGATGAAAATATAAATATCCAGGTTTGGTCTATTTTATATACATTAACACAGGCTCTAATTTGGGACCAGAGAAAATCACTCTTATATCCGGGTTTCTTATATCCGGTCTCTTTATATCCGGGTTACACTTTTTATTTTATATACACAGAGATAAAAAAAAATTACATCGTAGAACTGCCTCAAGATTTGATGTAAATTCGAGCTGAATAAGTTGTAACGCAAGCAGTGACATGATCACCAAAATGTAGTGAAACAAGTGATTAGTAAAAAGAAATGTGGTTTGAGTTATTTTTTAAACAAAGAAACAGACTCGCCGTAGCGTAACGGTTAGCTCGCCAATGGTTCAACAAATTCTGGATTTACTGCTTTCTATAACTCACTATGTGGCCATCATTTTAGGTATTGTGAGATACCATACTGATCATCATCATCATCATCATCATCAGTCCTGCTTCGGTCATCGGGTGAACCCAAGGGTGGAAGAAGCAAACAGCATCCTCTAGGATGATAGTTGGTGGATAATGTGTGTCCATGCCCACCCGTTCGATAATTAACCTCCAGCTGTGACCTTGTTACTGTTATTGGGTCACCTTCAAGTGTGTCCAAGTAAATCCATTCCTTAATTTTCCTTCACGTGTGTCCTCATTCATCGGTTTTGTTATATTTCTTTCATATGTGCCATTGCCCATCCGTTTGATAATTTTCCTTCAGGTGTGTCCTTGTTCCTACGCCCGTTAGGTTGTCTTCACGTGTGTCCGTGTAAATCCATTCCTTTATTTTCTTTCACGTGTGTCTTCGTTCATCCGTTCATTATATTTCCTTCTTATGTGTCTGTGGCGGACGTGATGAGACAGAACATGGGACGAGCACAACTGGTCGCGACTTGCCTTGTCCCTGCCAAAAAAGAGCCCGTATTTGCTTAGCATGTAAAGCTACTGCAGTTGAAATGAGGGAGAGAAAAAAAGCACTTACCACTCTGCCGTAATCCGTCCTCGGCCAGATAACGTAAAAGAATGAGGGGGGACTTGCATTGCATTTTTATGCAATAAAGATGCAATGCATTATGGGACATGGACGCAATGAATTATGGGGTCACATGAAGACGCAAGGGATTATGGGTATACTGACAAATATAAAACCAACTACTTTTTTCCCAGTGGGGCAGTTCTTCTAGTGACATTCACGGTTGGCGGCAAGAACGGGCAGTTAGTGTGATTTGGAGACAGAACTCAAGAAGGAGCGACTCAAGGTTGAAATACCAACTGGGAGAGCTTGAATTTACTCGCTGGTTGCTGTTTTCTTTATTCGCCACAGTGTCCTTGCCCATTCGTTCTATATTTTTCCTTCCGGTGTATCCTTGTTCTCCCTTTCGTTATTTTACCTTTTGTGTGTCCGTGTTAAGTCACGCTTTCAGTTTCTTTTCATGTCTCCTTATTAATCCGTTAGCTAATATCCTTTCACGTGTGTCCTTGTGCCGAAACCTGACAATAATATATGAAACTTGAGGCTGGCGTTGATCCTGCGTACGAGTAAAACAAATTTACTCTTGTGCCATATCAGGCTATGGTTGTTTAATAGGTTACCAGATTCTGAATAATGGTAAGCTGGCATACTGGAGCCTGTCTTTAGTAATACGTATTAGCCTGACAAGTTGTCACCATTCTGGTGGCTTTTACCCGACCAAAGAACCCCGTGTAGGTTAATCTAATTTATTAGATTTTCATTAAGGTAACGGGATTTTACATTATATCAGGGATCACGTTCCTATATTTGTATCAAAAGATACTAACCCGAATAAATAAGAGATGCCTTAGCAGTTAGTTAGAAATCTTGCAATGCTGACGACTCTATTAACATAATTAATGTGTCGTGTTCAAACAGGGCGTGTGCAATTGTGGCTCTCCACAACTTCCTATTTCTTCTGAGTAGCTATTTAGTCATTACCATTAGTTCTTTTCTCTGTTCTGACTCTTCCTGGGTGTAGATGCAAGTCTTCTACTTCCTATTTTGTTTAAGACTTCCTTGCCGCTCAAATGTTCTGAGAATGGTATTGCCAGAAATCTTGCTATGCAAACGATTCTGTTAACACAATTAATGTGCCGTGTCCAATTACGGCTCTCCACAACTTCCTGTCCCTTGCAGCTCTAAACAACTGTTGATTCATTATCTTCACTCTTTCTCCTTGATCTTCCGTTCATTTGTACATTATGTAATTATCTTACTGTTTCCTTTTCCGTTCTTCCTTTAATACGTCCTGTTTATTAAACTTTACCAAACTCTTTTTCCTCATAATGTCTCAGTTTGAAATTTTGGATTGTCTTTTCCTGGGTGAAGACGCAAGGTTCCTTGTTCTTATTCACTTTAAGACTTCCTTATTGAAGATTATTCAGAGACTTATTTCCATTGTATTAGTCTATCAGTCAAATTTCTACGTTTGTATCGAATGATGCTAGACACAATAAATAAGAGATCCCTCGGAGTTAGATATTTTGTCAGAAATCCTGCAATGCAGAAGACTCTATTAACAGAATTAATGTGTCGTGTTCAAATAGGGCGTGTGGAATCATGGCTCTCCATAACTTCCTGTTCCTTGTAGCTCTGAGTAACTATTGAATCATTACCATTACTCCTTTTCCCTGTTCTGACGTCCATTTCTATATTAGGTAATTAGCTTATTGTTTCCTTTTACCTTTTCTTCCTTGAATACGTCCTGTGTGTATTAAACTTACCAAGCTCTCTTTCCTCATAAAGTCTCATAGAAATTTCCATTGTCTTTTCCTGGGTGAAGATGCATGTCTCCTTCCTATCATCTTAAAGAAATCTTGCTATGCAGACAATTCTATTAACATAATTAATATGTCGTGTCCAATCACGGCTCTCCACAACTTCCGGTCCCTTTCAGCTCTAAGCAACCATTGACTCAATATCATCACTCCTTCTCCCTTAGCATCTGTCCATTCGTACATAATGTGATTATCTTACTGTTTCTTTTTACCTATTCTTCCATTAATACGTCCTGTGAGTATTAAACTTCTCAAGCCTTCCTTCCTCATAATGCATCACGGAAACTTCAATTATATCTTTAAGAGAGACAATTTTTTTCCTCGATACTCAAAATTCTGTCAGTGAATATAGATTGATTGATTTATTTAGGGTCACTCATTTAGGTACTGACCAGGCTCAACGTTGCTTAACTTCGGTGATCGTACGTGAAACGGTGTTTACACCTGATAAGGATGTAAGGCATGACACGTGCACATACACGCTTCCATAACCTGGTATTCCCAAGCAGACACCCATCTGGGTACAAACCAGGCTTGACGTTGCTTAACTTCGATGATCGCAAGGGAAATGGGGTTTCATCGTGACATAAGACGTAAGACATACCATCAACTTATTCAAAGTTACAGTACATTTTAACCTCAGCGGATATCCATTTGGGTGTTGACCAGGGTCGACGTTGCTTAACCATTTAAAGTCCACATTCGTGTCATTGATATATATATATATATATATATATATATATATATATATATATATATATATATAGGAAAATATTATGTTCGTTTCAGAAGACATATCTGAATGACATTGAATGGAAAAATAATATTATTATTGAATGTTTTATAAATATAGCAATGGGACACAAGGTCCGCTTTATACCATATCAATGTATTTTGGGGATAACAATGTCCCTCATCACGTGTTGAAAACATCTGTGGGATACTATGTCCGCTTTATCTAAAACCAATGTGTTTTGGGATAATTATGTCACACAGGATGTGTTGAAAACAATTGTGGGACACTTATGTCTGCTTTATCCCAGATCAATGCGTTTTAGGGATAATGTCCCGCATGGCGTGTTGAAAACATCTGTTGGACACAATGTCCTCTTTATCCGAAACCAATGCGTTTTTGCGATAATAATGTCCTGCAGGATGTGTTGAAAACATCTGTAGTCCACTATGTCCGCTTTATCTAAAATCCATGCGTTTTGGGGATAATTATGTACCACAGAACGTGTTGAAAACATCTGTGGGACACTATATCCGATTTATCCCAGACCAATGTATTTTGAGGACAATAATGTCCAGCCGAACGTGTTGAAAACATCTGTGGAACACTATGTCCGATTTATCCCAGACCAATGTGTTTTGAGGACAATAATGTCCATCCGGACGTGTTGAAAACATCTGTGGGACACTATGTCCGATTTATCCCAGACTAATGTGTTTTGAGGAGAATAATGTCCAGCCGGAGGTGTTGAAAACATATGTGGGACACTATGTCCGATTTATCTCAGACTAATGTGTTTTGAAGGACAATAATGTCCATCCGGACGTGTTGAAAACATCTGTTGGACACTATATCCGATTTATCCCAGACCAATGTATTTTGAGGACAGTAATGTCCATCCGAACGTGTTGAAAACATCTGGGGGACACTATGTCTGGTTTATCCCAGACCAATGTATTTTGAGGACAATAATGTCCATCCGGAAGTGTGGAAAACATCTGTGGGACACTATATCCGATTTATCCCAGACCAATGTGTTTTGAGGAGAATAATGTCGATCCGGACGTGTTGAAAACATCTGTGGGACACTATGTCCAATTTATCCCAGACCAATGTGTTTTTGAGGAGAAAAAATGTCCAGCCGGACGTGTTGAAAACATATGGGACACTATGTCCGATTTATCCCAGACCAATATGTTTGAAGGACAATAATGTCCATCCGGACGTGTTGAAAATATCTGTTGGACACTATATCCGATTTATCCCAGACCAATGTATTTTGAGGACAGTAATGTCCATCCGAACGTGTTGAAAACATCTGTGGGACACTATGTCTGATTTATCCCAGACCAATGTATTTTGAGGACAATAATGTCCATCCGGAAGTGTGGAAAATATCTGTGGGACACTATGTCCGATTTATCCCAGACCAATGTGTTTTGAGGAGAATAATGTCCAGCCAGACGTGTTGAAAACATATGTGGGACACTATGTCCAATTTATCCCAGACCAATGTGTTTAGAAGGACAATAATGACCATCCGGACGTGTTGAAAACATCTGTTGGACACTATATCCGATTTATCCCAGACCAATGTATTTTGAGGACAATGATGTCGATCCGGACGTGTTGAAAACATCTGTGGGACACTATGTCCGATTTATCCCAGACCAATGTGTTTTGAGGAGAAAAATGTCCAGCCGGACGTGTTGAAAACATATGTGGGACACTTTGTCCAATTTATCCCAGACCAATGTGTTTTGAAGGACAATAATGTCCATCCGGACGTGTTGAAAACATCTGTTGGACACTATATCCGTTTTATCCCAGACCAATGTATTTTGAGGACAGTAATGTCCATCCGAACGTGTTGAAAACATCTGTGGGACACTATGTCTGATTTAACCCAGACCAATGTATTTTGAGGACAATAATGTCCATCCGGACGTGTTGAAAACATCTGTGGGTCACTATGTCCGATTTATCCCAGACCAATGTGTTTTGAAGGACAATATTGTCCATCCGGACGTGTTGAAAACATCTGTTGGACATTATATACGATTTATCCCAGACCAATGTATTTTGAGGACAGTAATGTCCATCCGAACGTGTTGAAAACATCTGTGGGACACTATGTCTGATTTATCCCAGACCAATGTATTTTGAGGACAATAATATCCATCCGGACGTGTTGAAAACATCTGTGGGACACTATGTCCGATTTATCCCAGACCAGTGTGTTTTGAGGAGAATAATGTCCAGCCGGACGTGTTGAAAACATCTGTGGGACACTATGTCCGATTTATCCCAGACCAATGTGTTTTGAAGGACAATAATGTCCATCCGGACGTGTTGAAAACATCTGTTGGACACTATATCCGATTTATCACAGACCAATGTATTTTGAGGACAGTAATGTCCATCCGAACGTGTTGAAAACATCTGTGGGACACTATGTCTGATTTATCCCAGACCAATGTATTTTGAGGACAATAATGTCCATCCGGACGTGTTGAAAACATCTGTGGGACACTATGTCCCGTTTATCCCAGACCAGTGTGTTTTGAGGAGAATAATGTCCATCCGGACGTGTTGAAAACATCTGTGGGACACTATGTCCGATTTATCCCAGACCAATGTGTTTTGAGGAGAATAATGTCCATCCGGACGTGTTGTCCCACAAAACGTGTTGAACACATATGTCCATTTTATCTCAGACCAATACGTTTTGGGGACAATTATGTCCCGCCGGACCTATTGAAAACATCCTATGCGTCACTATGTCCGCTTATTTCCAGACCAATGCGTTTTTGTGATTATTATGTCCCGTTGGGGAGGTGAAAACATCCGTGGGGCACATATATCCCAGGCGACTCCAAAGGGTTAACTTAGGTGATTGTGGTCTTTCAACATTATGGATGTTAGGCATATCACCCGCTCATCCAAGCTTACATCACGTGGTAAGCCGTAAGCAGACTTGACGTTGATTTACTTCAGTGATCGTACGAGAACAGAAGTTTCAATGAGATATGGCCGTCAGTCATACCACCGGCACATTCAAGCTTACATCAAATAATATGCCCACTGGAAACTGACCAGACTTGACGTTGCTTAACTTAGGTGATTCTGTGAGAATCGCTGTTTCAAAGTTTCTACATCTGCGAGGACAATGTTCAGCATTTACTCGGAGGAGAGATGTAAATTACAATTGAAATTACAGTCTCTCGTTACTAGAATATAGTGTCACATGGTTGATTTGCAATTAAGTTGGTAAAGACTTGAAAAAAGGCGCCATTGTTTAAACAAATCTTGCTTATAGATGTCATTTTTCTTTTTATATAGGCAGCTTAATTATTTGCAACGCGTTCTAAGTTGAGAGGCGTAAAATCGTACTATTGTCTACCAAAATCATATGTAGATTATCAAGTGCTTTATTGTTATACGCTAGGTGACTGTAAATTAATCTTCGACCAAAAAGATGACAAGTAAGTCGGCGAAAAAGAGGCGTAGTGGTAAGGTTTGGTTTGTTTTGCTTCACAGCATATCAAACTCGATGGGTTATTTAATGTCGGCAAGATTTTTATTATTGGTAGATTTTTTTTTCCAAAAATGTTTTGCTGGTAATATTCTTTTTTCCAAAATATATTGCTGATATTTTCCAAAAATGTATTGCTGGTAAAAAAATTTCTAAAATGTATTGCTGGTATTAAAAGCTATTTTTATACTTTTATGATATTTTGGCCCCTTTGGCTGGGACACTCTCCCCGAGTCACGGTGGAACTGGGAACACCAGCAATTAAGAGGTGGTTTCACGCTCTTCGAAATCTTCTGATCAATGCCATTGCTGTCGGATGTAGTTTATCGTCTTACCCAGGACGCGGGTGTAGTTTATTGTCTTACCCGGGACAGGGATGTAGTTTATCGTCTTACTCGGGACGGGGATGTAGTTTATCGTCTTACCCAGGACGCGGATGTAGTTTATTGTCTTACCCGGGACAGGGATGTAGTTTATCGTCTTACTCGGGACGCGGATGTAGTTTATCGTCTTACCCGGGACGCGGATGTAGTTTATCGTCTTGCCCGGGACGCGGATGTAGTTTATCGTCTTTACCCGGGATAGGGATGTAGTTTATCGTCTTACCCAGGACGCGGATGTTTTTTATCGTCTTACCCGGGACGCGGATGCAATTTAACCTCTTACCCGGGATGCGGATGTAGTTTATCGTCTTACCCGGGACGCGAATGTAGTTTATCGTCTTTACCCGGGATAGGGATGTAGTTTATCGTCTTACCCAGGACGCGGATGTAGTTTATCGTCTTACCCAGGACACGAATGTAGTTTATCGTCTTACCCGGGACACGGATGTAGTTTATCGTCTTACTCGGGACGCGAATGTAGTTTATCCATCTTACCCGGGACACGGATATAGTTTATCGTCTTACCCGGGACGCGAATGTAGTTTATCGTCGTACCCAGGAAGGTGTGGTGGTAAGGGCAATATATATTCATAGATTGATTCATAAAATATTTTTTAACTAGATTTTTAAAAAAAAGTTAGTAACTTCTTTTTCTTTATATGCCTCTTTTCTGATCATGACGGAAAGGGTCGAAAGCACGTACACTCATTTTCCAAACAATTCAAACTTGGATGGTTCCCTCATTTTATGTTTCGAAACTATTTGATTGATAGATTGATTCTATGGCTTACTAACCCTTTGCAGGTTATTTAAAGCCAAAAAAAATATTTCTATATCGTAAGAATTTTTTAAATAATTGTTTCGTGATACATATCTTACTAATTAACCCATAACTGGGGGAAAGCAAGATGGGTTTATACCTAATCAGAA